TCCTCCATATCATTCTTTTTGGTAATTACTCCACCGTCTTGTCCTGTTCAATTCCAAGTTGCTGCCTTATCTCTGACCAGCGTTAATGGGAAGAAACCGAGAAGAAGAGCCAAGTTCCATTGGTGCATGATCCAGATGCTAGGCTAGAAGTCCAGACACCTGGGTTGCCTTTAGTGTTTGGTTATAAATGAGGAGTGGCTTTGAGAAAGTTTTTATCTGGTTTGGGCCATGATATTCTCATCTATAAAGAGGGATGCTGTTATAAACGCATGTATATAGTTGTCCCCTCAAAGCCTCATACAGTCGTTGGGGTGGCTTTTAGTATTTGTGATTAATTCATGATCCAATGGGAGGAGTATGGGTGAGTGCTATACCTGCCCTGGGGTGGGTAGTCTGCATACAATGTGGGGAACAGAGAGAGGCTCATTAGCTGCCTCTCCCTTTGCTTTTATGTCTTTTGCTATTTTCCACCATTGTGAGTGGCTGCCTTCTACCATGTGCCACTCTGCCTTGGAGCCAGCTGAGTATGGAAACCTCCACTAACTATATAAACCCTTCCTTCCCTAATTTTGGGTGTCAGGTATTTTTGTCCCAGCAATGAGAGAAAAGTAATTGAGACCGGTTTTACTTGGATAATTGTTCAGGTCCTTCCATCTGATTGCTCTGTTTTGTTAGTTTCATAGAATGAAGAGTGGTTTTGCAGAAAGAAGAGGACAATATTTGGATCGTCTTTGATGTGGTCACTTATAAATAATAACTTCTACCAACATATAAAAAGGTGGAAAGCTTTGATTCAGAACTAGTAAGTATATTACAAATAGCAGCTGGCTAGTTATTTAGTGGTACCAAATATTGATTATATCAACTAGAAAATCAATCTATGCTTTCATCAATGTATTGATGGCATTCTCAATAAGTATTCTGTATTTTGGGGGGCACTTATTTACAGATATGGTAGCCTGTGATAAACAGTGGAACTACAGATGGGCTAGGACTTACACAAAGGTGACAAGGCTATGTCTTACATTGTTGGTCCCCTGCCATCACAAATTGAGTTGTATCTTTCCACCCAGGCAGCTGGGAGCTGTATTCATTGAGTTGTAGTGCAGAAACAGCATAGACCTAAGTGACATCCAAAATTAATGCCTTACAATTGATGACAAGAAGGGTAGACCTGTGCTACCCAGAGTAGTAACCATTCACCACGTGTGGCTATTTATCTGTGCCTTTAAATACATTAAAGTATAATTGTAATGTAACACTCATTTGCATGGCTACTCTAGCCATGTTTTAGGTGCTCACTACCACAGGTGGCCTGTCTGTATGGGACAGTGAAAATACAGAATGAGCTCATCATCTTGGAAAGTTCCGTTGTGCAATGCTGGTCTAGACCAAGATATTCTTCAAGGAAGGAAGAATAAATGAATGAATAAGTAGTATTGATTTAAACTTTTTTTCCTTTGGTTTTTTAAAAACAGGATCTCCCAATGTAGTTCTGGCAGGCTTTGAACTTACTATGTAGCTCAGGCTGGCCTTGAACTCACTGTGATCCTGCTGTCTCAGCCTTGAGTGCTAGGATTACAGGTGTGTGCCACCATGCTCAATAGTTTTTCTTAAGGGTCTGGACAAGCCTATGGCATGTCCATAATTCAAGATGGGCCCAAAAGAAAAATAAATGCATAGCTCTAATGCTCTGACAACATATATCTATATCTATATCTATATCTATCTTGGCAAGGATGGTGCTGGCTACACCATTGGATACATTTATTAGTATTCAATAAACTACACATTCAAAGATAAATGTACTTTATTCATGTAAATTTCCTTCAGTTAAGTTAAAAGAAGACTTTCAAGTGGGTAGAGCTTCTGAAAAAGGAAGCTCAAGTCTGTAAACCCAACTTGTCCCTTTCTTCCACGATTTAGCACGTCTGAATTGGGAGCATCTGTGTGTGAGATAAGGGTACAAGGGTACAAGTCTCCTAATATCTAGTTTGAGGGACAGACGTTAATCTAATTATCAAACAGCTACATGTCATCATTACAGCTGTAACACGTGTATTTCTTCCCATCTTTGCAGTGGATTTCATAAAGGAAAACAGTATAACCCTCATTCAAAGGATGGGCATGACTGTTACAAAGCAAATTATGGATGATCTATTTGTATGGAACGTTCTGAATTCTGAAGAAATCAGCATTGTTTGCTGTCAGAAGGTGGAGCAGGATGCGGCACGTGAGCTCATTCATGTGATTTTAAAGAAGGGCTCAGAGTCCTGTAACCTCTTCCTTAGATCCCTCGAAAAGTGGAACTATGCTCTGTTTCAGGATCTGAGTGGACACAGTAAGTATCTGGTCACTTGCATGGCTTTCTCCAAACAGAATAAATCACAGGGAGGATCCATAAGCTGGTGACAGAACCTGTTTCCTCTTCACAGCACTTGGCAGTGGACTTTGATTCATGCTAAGGAACACATTCATTAGATCACTTCACAGTGAAGCCAAATAACCCAGGGCCAGCAAACAAATGCCTCAGTGCCTTGTCACTTCCAAGTATCCTGGTAGTACACCAGCCCACGGGTTAACATTCAGTAGTGCACTGCTGGCAGTGGCCCAGCTGACTTCCTGCTTCACATCCAAGCAAGGTGACAAAGGAAACTGACTACCTCAAGCTCTTTGAATGTAGGTCTTCTCTTCATGAAATGGTAATTCAGTTTTCATTACTTCAAATTAGTAAATTGCGTCCCAATAGCTTAAGGTTTAATCTGCTGAAAGTTACCTTCAGCCATCATCACCAGCCAAATCTTTCACTCCCCTTTACCCAAACGGGCTCCTCCTGTTATCAGTCAGCTGCTGTCAGAGTTGGGGGCAAAAAGATGAATTGGGAAAAGAGTGTGAAAGGAAAAGCAGGAATAGCTACATGGAGCCCTTTATGCCAGCTCAGAACTGGGGAAGGAAATTCCAGTCACCAGTAGCATCTCTGCCTACCCCGGCCTCCATGCTTTGCGGAGATGCAGGCTGTGACTTCTCTCCCATCCTTTCTTCTCTAACAGGTCTTTTTCAACAGATACCAGATGAAGACTTGGAGGACTTGGCTCAGGATTTAAAGATCTTGTATCATACTCCAAGTTTTCTAAACTTCTATCCCCTGGGGGAAGATTTTGACATCATTTTTAATTTGAAAAGCATCTTCACAGAACCTGTCCTGTGGAGGAAGGACCAACATCATCACCGAGTGGAGCAGCTGACCCTGAAGGGCCTGCTGGAGACCCTTCAGAACCCATGCATCATTGAAGGGGAATCCGGCAAAGGCAAGACCACCCTGCTCCAGAGAATTGCCATGCTCTGGGCCTCGGGGAAGTGCAGGCCTCTGACCAAGTTCAAATTTGTCTTCTTTCTCCGCCTGAGCAGGGCCCAGGGTGGACTCTTTGAAACGCTTTGTGATCAGCTGCTGGATGTACCTGACCCAATCAGGAGACAGACCTTTATGGCCATCCTGCTGAAGCTACGGCAAAGGGTCCTTTTCCTCCTTGATGGCTACAATGAATTCAAGCCCCAGACCTGTCCAGAAATTGAAGCCCTGATAAAGGAAAACCATCGCTTCAAGAACATGATCATTGTCACCACCACCACAGAGTGCCTGAGGCACATAAGGCAGTTTGCTGCCCAGATCGTTGAGGTGGGAGACATGACGGAGCACAGCGCCCAGGTCCTCATCCGAGAGGTGCTGGTCAAGGAGCTTGCTGAAGGCCTGCTGCTCCAGATTCAGTGCTCCAGGTCCCTGAGGAATCTGATGAAGACCCCTCTCTTTGTGATCATCACTTGCGTAATCCAGATGGGCGAAGATGAGTTCCAGGCTCAGACACAAACCACTCTCTTTCGTACCTTCTATGATCTGCTGATACAGAAAAACAAGCACAAACACAGAGGTGTGGCAGGAGCCGACTTCTCCCGGAGCCTGGACCACTGCGGAGACCTGGCTCTGGAGGGCGTGTTCTCCCACAGGTTTGACTTTGAGCTGGAGGATGTGTCCAGTGCGAATGAGGACTTCCTGGTGACAACTGGACTCCTCTGTAAACACACCGCTCAAAGGTTCAAGCCGAAGTATAAATTCTTTCACAACTCCTTCCAGGAGTACGTAGCAGGCCGCAGGCTCAGCCATTTATTGATGTCTCCTGAGCCAGAGGAGGTGGCCAAGGGGGATGCGTACTTGCAGAAGATGGTTTCCATTTCGGATATTATCTCCCTGTACGGCAACCTGCTGCTGTACACGTGCGGCTCATCGGCTGCTGCCTCCAGGGCCGTTCTGAGGCACCTCGCAGGGGTGTATCAACACGGCAGCCTGCTAGGGCTTTCCACTACCAGGAGGCCTCTCTGGAGGCAGGGGTCTATACAGAGCATGAACAGCACCACCAATCAAGAGATTCTAAAAACCATCAACATCAATTCCTTTGCAGAGTGTGGTATTAATTTATTCCAAGAGAGTGCATCCAAATCAACTCTGAGCCAAGAATTTGAAACTTTCTTTCATGGTAAAAGTTTGTACATCAACTCAGAGAACATCCCTGATCACTTATTTGACTTCTTTGAGCATATGCCTAATTGTGTAAGTGCTCTGAGCTTCGTTAAACTGGACTTCTACGGAGGAGCTTTGGCTTCACAGGACAAGGCTACTAGAGAGGAAGTCTCTGAAACCTACATTCCCAGCAGAGCTGTGTCTTTGTTCTTCAATTGGAAGCAGGAATTCCAGACTCTGGAGGTCATACTCCGGGACTTCAGCAAGTTGAATAAGAAAGATGTCAAATACCTCGGAAAGATCTTCAGCTCTGCTACAAGCCTCAGACTGTATATTAAGAGATGTGCTGGTGTGACTGGAATCCTCGCTTCAGTGCTCAGCACCTGTAAGAACATTTACTCTCTCATGCTGGACACCAGTCCTCTCACTGCGGAGGACGAGCAGCATGTCACCTCTGTGACCAACCTGACGACACTAAGTGTTCATAACCTCCAGACCCGACGCCCGCCAGGTACTATATATTCCTGCAGGTTAAGCTCTCTCCAGGTGGGCTGGGTACTATGAAATATTAGATAGCAGAGATTTTGTTTCAAAATATCCAGATGGGCATGATAGTACACTCCTCTAATCCCAGCATTGGGAGACTGAGGCAGGAGGATTACTGGAAGTTTGAGGCTAGCCTGGACTACAAAGTGAGTTCATAACTAGCCTGGACTACATAGTGAGACCTTGTCTCCAAACATTAATTACCTAATTAATTAGTTAAAATTTCTAATAGTTTCTACCAGGTTTCAGGACTTAGGAGGTGGAAGGTCTTACTAGATCAACCAGGCTGGGGTCAAACTTGTGATCCTCCTACCTCAGTGTCCCTAAATACTGTGATTACAGGTTTGCCCACCATGCCCACCACAGATTTTTGTTTTCAGTGTTTGTAATTCCCAGACCAAAAGTGTCACTTTGAAAATTACATGACATAAACAGTTCATAACACGCAGGGGGATTTTGACAAAAACAGATTTAGGTTAAAGCAAGGCAAATGACCAGGTTGAAAATATGTATTCAGAAGACATTGCATAATCTCAATACCATCCCAAGGCTGTTTTTCAAGTAAGGGAGGTATACTGACCAGCTTTCCCATTGTTGGGTCAAAATACCCGGCACTTGCAACTTAGAGGAGGAAGGGTTTACTGTGGATCAGTTTCAAGGTTTCAGTCGGTGGTCCACTGGCTCCAAGGTGGAAGGACCTAGTGGGAGGGTTACAGTGGAGGAAAAGGAGGACATCTGCCAAGGAGCAGGGGCAAGCGGGAAAGGAAATGGCGGGGACCAAATATTGTCTCCATGGTCACGTTCCTAATATTGTCTCCTTGGAGGTCATGTCCTCCAAGAAGCCCCATCTCCTTGTATCCCACTTAGGTATGAAGCGACCCACAAGTGGATCCACTGAGGGTGGATTTGGTGAATCACTTCTCTGAGTGTCTAAGTCAGGCAATTTGACAAGCAAGGTTAAATGTCACAGGAGGAAAGCCAGAACTATCCTACCAA